GCGCGGGCGACGGGGGCGCGCGCGCGCGTGGGCGCGCGAGCGGGCGCGGGAGACGGAAAACGACGGCGAACGAGCGTGCGGTGAATGATGGGCGCGACGTCGCGCGCGCGCGCGCGATCGAGGCCGTGGACGCGCGGGAGGTGGGCGGGGACGACGCGCGTGAGACCTGGGGACGGGTGGGAAAGGGACGAGGGCTCGCGCGGGGGGTGGCGAAGAAGATGGCGCGGGCGCTCGCGACGGGACGGGCGGAGATGCGCGCGGAGGAGAGGAAGGATGGAGACGCGACGAGCGACGGTGCGGTGGAGACGACGGGTGATGCGGGTGGTCGAACGGGCGCGTCGACGTCGGGGGCTGCGGAGGGGGCGTTCACGCCGAGAGTTTCGGCGGCGTACGCGCACGCGTTCCCGGAGGCGAGCGCAAAGTGTTGGTGCGTCGACGTCTGGGACGAAGAGGGGGTGAAGACGACGATGTCGATCACCAAGGCGGTGCCTAGGGTGCGGAAGATTCAAATTACCGCTCGCACGGAGTCGCCGGTTTTGATCGAGGAGGAGGTGAAGGCGATTGTTGATGAGTGGAACGAGCGCACGCGCATCGAGCGCGCGCGAAGAGCCAAGGCGAGACGCAAGGCGGCGGAGGCGGAGCGAAAGGCCGAGGCGGAGACGGAGACGGAGGTAAAATTGATAGCGGAGTCAGTCTTATCGGGCGTCGACGACGACGATGGCGGCGAGCGGAGAAAGATGGCCCCGCCGCCGGGATTCCGCCCTCGAACGCCGCCGGGATTCGCGGAGCCAACGTACAAGGTCGTGCACGTCCCAGTGGTGGATCCCGCGATGGAGGCTCGACAACGCGCGCTCGAGGCACAAGTCGCGGAGCTTCAAGCGCAGTTAGCGGCGCAAAAGGTTCAAGGTGGAGGATTCACCACGCGAATGCCGAGCGAGGCACGCATCGGCGGGCCGCTCTGGTGAGATTATTTAATGATACCTAAATTAACAATATTGCTGCTACTGCTGCCGCCGCTCCTAAATTCTAATAATTATACTCACGCCCCGTTTTCGTCGTCGCATCGTTGGAACTCGAGCTTCATCTTCCTCGGGGCTGGCCAAGTCGAGATGGCCGCCATGACCGTGTCAAACTTTTCGCCTCGCGTGGCGAACCGAATTTGCTCCTCACCCTTCTTCACCGCCACACCGCCGTAATCCATCGTGCTGTTGAACACGATCGCCGAGACCGCGATCAATCGATCGCCAACACTAATCAAACCAGATTTCTCCGCCGCACCCTCCGGGAGCAACTCCTCGACGAATATGTTGCCGTTTTTATCCTCGGCGAGGTACATGCCGAGTGGTTTCTTTATCTCAACTGCGTACCGAGCGCACCCGGGCGGGACCGGATCGGCGCTCGGATCGGACGCATTCTCCGCGGCTCGGGCGACGTATCCTTGTCCGCGCGGACGTGTTGATGGCGAACGCGTGGCTGTGAAACATTCCGCGCGCCGTGGACAAACCGCCGCGCTCCGCATACTGCGATGAAGTGATCAGAAAAAAAGTCGTCAGTCGTAACGCTCGTTGTCTCTCCTTTTGTCTCAGAGAGTATGGTCACAAAATATCCACATTGGGTATTCGGTAAAGTTTTTGGGTATAGGTTTGATCTTCCTCGACGAGGACGACGAGCGTAGACGCCAAAAAAAAGTGGAATCAGGATCGATCCGACTGGATCTACGACGACGACGACGACACGTGTAGCAGGGGTTCTAGAGGCCGTTAGCGATGGAAGCGCACGAAGCCCGCTTTACCCAAGCGTTAATGTATGGGCGTTTTGAAACGCGACCGACGATGGTGATCGCTCGGCCTCGTAAATCGTGACGCCCAAATAAACCGTGTCGCCGTCGTCGAAACCAAATATCAGTGTCCGTCGCGTCAGTGCTTCGTAAATCTTTTTCACCGCGCCGAAACGCGTCAAAGGTGTCCTAAGATATTTTTAACGAAGTCATCATCCACGACAAACACCGCGAGAGAGATCCCTTCCCCGATCGCGTCAGTGAATCGATGCTCGTTTCAAGGGACTCGGCTGAACGTCCGAGTCCTCAAGTGAACTATGCCTTGATTCAAACATCACGCGCGTCGGGTCACGACGGATCCCTCCCGAATCAACGACGCGCCGCTCTACGAAGCCTCGGTTTAACGAGATTCACAAGTTTGTTCGTCACCGTTCGATCGGATGGTACGGACAAGTGCTTGTCGTCATCGGCTCCGCGTCGCGCGCCGCGCTCGCGTCGCGCCCGAGGTACCCTCGCGCGCCCACTTCCAAAATCCATCCCATTCCCTCTAAACTGTCCGGCTCGCGCCCAGGCGTGGCGGAACGCGTCCGCTCGCTTACCGTGCGCTTCGCCGCGTCCTCCATCCCTCGCGATTCGCCGAAACACACGCGAGAGACAAAGACACGTGCGTTCAATGTCGGCTGGACTGAGCGCCGCACCCGCGATCGCGTCTTCGCGCGGGGCGGTGACTCTAGTGTACGGTCCGCCGTGTCGCGCGAAAAAAACACCCATCGACCCTCGCGCGCGTTCGATCGACCCGTCCGCGCGCGCCCGTCGCCGCGCACCTCCGCGTCCGCGTCGCGCGATCGCGATTCGCGCCACCGCTCGAGCATCATCCATCACCGCTCGATCGCGCCTTTCGATCACCGAGATCACCGGTCGATCACGCCTTTCGATCGACGTCGCGCCGTCGGTCGACGCGCGCCGCCGCCGCCCACGAGCGCGGTCGCGCGTCGACCGCGCACGGCGACGGGCGCGATGTCGACCGCGACCGACGCGCGGGCGTCGGTGCCGTCCGCGCTCGAGGTCACGCGCGCGCACGCGGGGGCGCTCGAGCTCGATCTCGGGTCGCTGCTCGCGGAAGATGTCGTGTTCGACGTCCGCGCGGTGGCGGCGGCGACGGGGACGACGCTGGACGGCGCGGCGCGGGAACGTGGGAGAGACGTCCTCCAGCGCGTGATCGCGGAGTTGTTCGCGTTGCCGAGCGAGAGTGATGGGAACGGACGGTTCGCGCAGTTGCCGGAACCGACGACGGGGTTCCCGAGAGCGCGGGCGTTGCCGCCGAGCGAGACGCCGCTGACGAAGTGGGAGGCGTTCGCGAAGGAGAAGGGCATCAAGAAGAGGAAACGAAGTAAGGAGACGTTCGATGAACAGAGTGAGGAATGGAAACGGCGGTACGGGTATAAGAGGGTGAACGACGCGAACGACGTGATCATAGCGCCGGCGAAGATGACGGATGTCGTCGGGAAGACGGAGGACCCGTTCACGCGCGAGGAGCGAGAGAAGCGAGAGCGAACGCAGAAGAATCGAGAGAAACAGGATAAAAACTTGATGCGCGCCGTGCAGGAGAAGGGTGTGAAGGCGCTGCCGCCGACTTTACGCTTGGCGGTGACGGGACAGAAGGACTCGGTGGGGAGCGGTAAGCTCGGGAAGCGCGAAATGGTACACGTCGCGTCGCGCGTCGCGCAATCCACGGCGTCGATGGGTAAGTTCAACGCCCCCGTCGCGGGCGATGAAAAGATAAAGCTCAAAAAGGGCGCCAGAAGACAGTTTGACGATAACCTCGACACGGAGAAGACTCGAAAGAAGAGCCAAGAGATTGTCGAAAAGTTGCTCCTCAAGGAAAAGGCTGGCGGTATGGTCGACGTCAACATGGCGGCGAGAAAGATTCAACAAGAGAAGGAGAAGGCAAACAGGAAGAACAAATCGAGCGGAAAATCTACCGAAAAGAAGATTGGCGGTAAGACGGGCGGCAAGACGGGCGGCAAGACGGGCGGCAAGGTTGGTTCCAAGTCGAAAAAGTAGAGCGAAAACAACGTTCGCGCTAGCCACATGTATTTCCTTCCAGTACCGGTAGTTCTCGAGTCATCCGTTCACACCGCGATCGTGACGAAATGTAACGACACGGCCATGAACGAACCGCAAAGTCTTCCGCCTCGAAACATTTGCAGCAAAGTCGGACATTTGACTCGTACGGTACGGCAGGCACAAAACAACCACCGTTCACGTGCGTGCTATGCTCGCATGCGGTTTCTCGAGGGAAGCGGAGGTACAGAGTCAGCGGTGGACGCGTGTGCCAAAATTGCTACAGGAAACGATAACTTTTGTGATAACTTTTGAATGGGTTTTTATCGGTGAAGTTTTATATGTTATATGAGTATATTGTACAGGAAACGATAACTTTTTGTAATGGGTTTTTTATCGGTTTTATATGCAAAAAATGAGCTGCAGTCGACCGCTCTACCACTGAGCTAAGAACCCACGCGTAGGCGCACGGATGCGCTACGTCACCACGAGGCAGGGCCCTCCGAGAATTGAACTCGGGACCTGTCGATGTCTCCGATGTAATACCTGTTGATTCCCGCATGATTGTATGGGACCAATTACCCGTGTAGACATAAATTCTGACCGGCCGTCGCTCCAGACCTCGTGTCGCAAAAAGTACGGGTATTTCCAACCACCGCGACGCCACCGACGATCGCGCCGCCGCCCCGTCGTCGTCCCGCCGCCCCGTCGCGGGATTCGAATGTCCACCGTCGCGGAGACGTTTACCGGCGACGCGGCGATATTCGCTACGACGTACAACGCGTGGTGTCCATCGAACGAGCCAGGGGCATCGTCATCCCATGAATGGGTCGTCACCGTGTTGCCGCGACCGCGTGACCTCTCGCGCGCGTGCGCGTGCGGCGCGCTCGAGGGCGCGCGCGATCACGCCGAGGCGTGCTCGATGTCGGTGCTCCCGACGCGGCGGGAGATGGGAATCATGCGCGACCTGGTGATGGGCGGCGACGGGGATGAGGGACGATTGCGCTTTGCCTACGCGCGCGTACGACGGGACGACCGGACGAAACGGTTCGTCATCGAGCACACGTGGACGCCGGAGACGCTCCGTGGACGAGGGCTCGGGAAGAAGGCGGTGCGAGGGGTGGTGGAGTTTGTGAACGCGTGGTTTCCTTTGGGAGACGCGTCGTACGGGACGTACGAGGATCGCGTGACGCGCGCGCTCGAGCGCGTGGACGCGACGTGTTCGTACGCGAAACGCGCGCTCACGGAACTTCGACGCGAATCTGCGGCGTGATGGCGTCGTTGGCTACATCAACTCTTTGTTGTAAATCATCTCTAGATCATTTCTTAGCCTTGACGACTTGCGCGAAGCTCACCTTGATTCCGGCTCCGCCCGATTTTCCACCCACCGCGGTCGACTTGTTTTCCAACTCGTCGTGGGCGAGCATGGCCAATCCCGCGACCTCATCGTGATCATCGGCACGAATTTTTGTCGGGGCTTTGTCCTCCGTCGCCGCCTTCTTCGCCTTGGGTTCTTCATCATCCGCGATGTTGTTCTCGTCCTCGGAGCCGCCGTCTTTGCGTTTCTTGGACGCGGCTTCTGCGGACACTTCGCTCTCGTCGTACACGTCCTTGACGTATCCGTCGATCTCCTCGCGGACAAATCCTGGCAGGTCTTTTCTCTTGACGTGCCTCACCATGGCTTGCATTCCCGGAACCCAATTCGATTCCCCCGTCGCGCGGTCCATCCAAGACGTCACCTGCATCTGAAACTGCTCCACCGCCGGGTTGAGGTTCATCGCCACCTTCTCCTTCTTCTTTAGACTCGACGGGAATAGACCGAGGAATAAGATAACGTGCGTGTTTTCTTCTTTCTCCGGATCCTTGTACCTCGCCGTGCCCGGGTGAGCGAGCATTTGCCCGCCGGTGCAGTTCTCGATGCCCTGAATCAGCAGCTTCACGCGAGAGCCGACCCAACCCTCCCACTTCTTGAAGTCTTCCGCGGTTTTGGCGCTGATGGACACCATGAGGTAGTGTTTGTACATCGTCAGAAAGGACGTCTTGATCCATAAATCTTCCCATTTGCACTTGTTCAGCAGGATGTTCTTCGTCACCTCCTTGCCGCGTCGGAACTCCGCCTTGAGCACCTCGAGCGTGCTCACCGAGACGTTGAACGTCGAGTTCTGGGCCGGGTACGCCGGAGTCAGGATCTTCATCAACTGATATCGCTCCGCCTTGTTTACGCGCTCGTCCCACACTCGCATGCCGGGTAAACCCTCGTCCACGATCGGGACGAGCATCACGGGCGTCGACCACTGCCACGCCGACCACAGTTGGAAAAACGAGTACACGAGCATCGACGACGCGGCGTTGGGGTAGAGCTGACACACACGAGCGACTAAGATGGCTAAGTTGACGCCCCCGAAAAACCCGACGACGTTGGAGTAGATACCTCGTCGCTGTGCCCAAAGTCGAAGCGTTCGCAGCGCCACGCGAAACGCGTCGTGGTTCGGAACCTCTCTCAAGAGCTGATCCGCCACCCGACATCCGTTCAGCGATTTCACCCCGGGATCGTCCAGATTCAACAATACCGACGTCGCGCACACGTCCAAATCCTCCGGCACGCTCGTGTACGACGGCAACGACGTGTACGCCATATCAATCTCGAACCCTCTGAAAACCGTCTTGATCTCCGGCACAATCGCGTCCCGCACCGGCACAATCTCCTCCGTCCCCGGATGCTTTCGCATCACGTCATAAAACGACCCCTCATAATCATTCTCTTCGAATCCAAAGAAATCTTCCTCCCTACTCAGATGTCTCGGTCCTAAGCACAACGTATCGATGTCCGCCGCCGGTCCGTGCACCCCCAACCTATAGCTCCCAAACGTGTACAGGTTACACGACGGTCGCATATCCTCCGTGATCCCCTTCGCCGCGCTCGCCGTTCGCGTCCACTCCTGCAGCAGCGCGTTGAGCTCTCCCAGGACCTCTTCTCTGCGCGTGCACTCCTCTGGGTCTTCGTACACGTCCTCCGTGTGCAGTTTTTCATCCAGGGCGGCGCTCAGCGCGAGATCGCGATCGGTCGGCGGCGCGTTCGATATCACCCGTCGCGGCGCCTCCATCCCCGACGTCGACGCGTGCGAAATCACGCTCGACATGCGCGCGCGGAGAGGGGCGGTGCGCGATCGCGCGCGTCGCGAGGTGACGGAATGACGATTGGATTGCGTCCAAACGCGACCATCATTCGGTGACGCTCATGGCGGTGTCGCGCACCATCTCGGGCGCTTCGGGCGCGCGCGGTGCGCGATCGCGCGCGTCGCGAGGTGACGGAATGACGATTGGATTGCGTCCAAACGCGACCATCATTCGGTGACGCTCATGGCGGTGTCGCGCACCATCTCGGGCGCTTCGGGCGCGCGCGCGACGCGCGATGGACGCGCGAAATTTCACCGAATCGTTTTCATCGTCGCGAGCGCGCTGTGCGTCGCGAGCGAGGGCGCGAAGGCGGTGATGGCGCGACGCGGGCGAACGACCGAGGTGACGATGACGGACGCGTTCGGGGCGAGAGGGACGACCGAGGACGATTCGCGCGCGGTCGATGGCGCGGGAGGGGTGGGGCGACCGCGCGTGGACGCGACGCGCGCGGACGCGCGGATGGGAGCGGACGGGGGCGGGGCGGCGGCGGATGGACGCGCGGCGCGCGACTCGGCGACGTCGACGACGAAAACGGTTCGGGTGAGAGAGTGCGGCTCGCCCGCGATCGATGGGTACGCCAAGGTGAATTTGACGTGCATGGCGGAGAGCGCGACGGCGCGAGAGTGGGATGGGTCGAAAGAGGCGCGGGCCAGACTCGAGGCGCGCGTGGAGCCGCACGCGTCGTACGACGGCATCGCGGTGCGGTGGGGGATCAATCACACCGTGAAGACGGCGGAGGAGTGCGCGGAGCGGTGTCGAGAGCATGAAATTCGACCGAATGGACGCGGTGCGGAGGTTTTACCGTGTAACGTCTTCGTGTACTGTCCGCTGAATGTGGACGCGGACCGATGCTTTGAGGCGGACGCGCACGAACACTTTCCGGGCGACTGTTGGCTCAAATTTAGCGAAACGCCGGAGAACGTCGAAGTGAATCAACGCGGAGCGAACGACGCGCCCGGGTTCGTCAGGGATGGTAAAACTTTCGCGCAGCGACACCCGAACGCGCCGAATTTGACGCACTGGACGAGCGGCGTGCTCCTACCGCCAGACGTCGAGAACACTCCGGGGACGCTCGGACCGCGAGCGCAGTGGTGAATTGATCGTTGATTTGTTTGCGTTTTGTTGTATCACTACTAGGGCATAAAAGGCTACCTAAGACTCTCTTCGACGTTTCGAGCTCGACGAGGACGACGAACTACTGGACGAGCTGCTCGACGAAGACGAAGAACTCTCGTCCTCCTCCTCCTCCTCCTCCTCCTCCTCGTCCCAGTCGTCCTCCTCCTCGTCCCCATCCTCCTCCTCGGCGTCACCATCACCATCATTCGACGCGAGCAACATTTCGCGTCTCTCCTCTCGCGCTAACGCCTCCTCCAACGCGCGCTGCGCCGCCGTCGTCGCGCCCTCGAATCGAAACTCCAACCTCGGCGTGTGCTTCAGCGTCAACATCTTCGACACCATCGTTCGTATCTTCTGCGCGTTCCGCTCCAGCGCCCTCCCAGCGATGTGTTCCTCACCCACGCGCGTGCTCCCGTACAGGACGTGCACCGTTTTAAAATCTCTCGCCACGCGCGCGTCCATGACGTTTACGCCCGAGCCGTCGAATTTATGCGCCAATTCGTAATGAATCACGTGCGTCAGCGCCTTTCGCACGCGCGCGCTCTCCCTGATCTGCGTCGCGTCCTGCCCGATCGCGCTTCGCTCCGCCTCGATCGGTCGCGTCCGCGCGCGCGTCGACGCCCCTCGCGTCGTCGTCATCCCATCGGTCGACGCCCGACGCCTCGGCATCATCATCATCATCGAATCCGCGCCCATCGCCGCCCCCACCGCGTCCGCGCGCGCGCGCTCGACCGCGCGCGCCGCCGTGTCCGCGCGCGCGCCCACGCGCGCGCCCTCGCGCGCGCCCGCGACGAGACGCCGACGCATCGACGCGATGCGATGGGGCGTCGCCGAATGCCGACATTCGTCAACGCCTCGCCCGGTGATGTCGCGCGACGCGCGTCCCGGGACGTCCACCGCGCCCGCGACGCGGACGTCCACCGTCGCGCGCGAGTGGGCGGCCGCGGGCGCGGGGTGCGCGCTCGCGGATACGGTGTTCAATCCGCTGGATGTTTTAAAGGTTCGCGCGCAGCAGAGCGGTGCGAGCGCGCGCGCGCTGGCGCTCGACGCGATCGCCCGGGACGGGCTCGTGCGAGGGTTGATGCTCCCGGGTGTGCTCGCGACGTGGATGCGAGGGATGTCGTACACGGGGTGTCGCATCGGGATGTACGCGACGCGGCGACGGCGGCGACGGGGGACGACGGCGACGGCGTCGGCGTGCGCGTCCTCGCGGGTGGGCTCACGGGTGCGGTGGGGGCGTTGGTGTTTAATCCAATCGACGTCGTGCGGGTGCGGATGCAGTCGATGACGTGCGCGCACGCGAATACGATTGCGGCGTTCGGCGACGTCGCGCGGCGAGAGGGCGTGGCGGGCGGGCTCTGGCGAGGCACAGGGGCGTGCGTGGCGCGAGCGATGACGCTTTCGGGATCGCAACTCGCGACGTACGACGTCGGTAAGCGATGGCTCTTGAGGCACGGGTACTTCAGCGAGGACGCGCCGCCGCTGCACTTCACGGCGAGCTTCGTCTCGGGAGTCGTCGCGCAAACCGTCACGCAACCGGTGGATACGCTGAAGACGCTCGTGATGTCCGTCCCGAGCGGTGCGGGTGAACGAAAGGGTGCGTTCGTCGTCGCGCGCGATCTCGTCGCCGCGCACGGCGTTCGAGGTCTCTACCGCGGCTTCGTCGCCGCCGCCGCGAGACAAGGCCCGGTGATGGTTATCCAAATGCCAATCGTCGAGGCGCTCAGAAAAGTCCTCGGACTCGGCACGTTCGGGAGTTAGTATTCATAGATCACGTAATATTATATTTATTCATGCAGGCGTGCGTGTTCACCCATCGACGCGAGCCGACGCGCGCGCCGCGCCGTCGCCGCACACGATGACGCGCGTCGCCCCGTCGCCCGCCTTCTTCCGCGTCTCCACCGCGCGTCGCCGCCCCGCACGGCCTCGCGCCCACGCGCGCGCGTCCACGGACGACGACGACGACCGAGAGACCACGATCGATTTCTCCGTCGACGTCCAGAAGGAGTTCGAGCGCGGCGTCAAGTTTGGCCTTGAAGAAATCCGACCGAGATTCTATCCGAACGCCGTCTCGAGCGCCGATCGCGGGTTACCCATCGCGGACGCCCTCGTCGCGACGTCCGCGCAGGTGGCGCTGGCGGCGGTGACGCTCGCGCTCGGTCGATGGCGACCGAGCTGGTTGGTCGCGGCGCCGGCGCTCGGCGCGCGCGGGTTCGCGTACTTGCCGAGCGCGTTGGCGCACGGAAGTAAACTGGCGGCGGTGTGGACGGTGGGTGGATTGGCGGGACGGGCGTACGAGAGAAAGGCGTTCGATGGGACGTTCGAGGAGGCGATCAAGCGCACGGTGCAGGGTGGGTGCTTCGCGGCGGGTTTGCTCATCTTGTTGAGCCAGGCTGAGGCGCGCGCGCGGTTCGCGCAAGAGGGGTTGGGGGAGCCCGTTCTCGGGAATTCTCCCGAGGGCGACGCGATATTGATTAGGGCTGTCGTTGAACTCTTCGTTGACATTGCGAGCGAGGCCACGGCGTTAGTGACGTGGCGGGCAATTCGATGGAACACGTCGCCGACGGATCCAATGTCGCTCCTTCCGGACGCGTCTTTAGATGACGATGAGCGTCGATGAGAGACCGTAGTTTTAAAGGTTTCTCGTTCAGTTGTATTACTAAAGCTGGTCTATTGGTACCGTACAAGTGGTTTGATACATAGGATGAGGATGAACACTCAGGAACCGCCGCGCTCGTCGTACGGGGGTGCGCCGAGCTGGGAGGCGAGAGGGGCGAGGAGCGAGCGGAGGACGTCTTGCACGGATTCTGTATCCGCGGCGAAAAAGCGGAGAACGACACCGGGATGTGGAAGGGGTAAGTCGCTCGCGGAAACGAATAACTTCGACTGAGGGTCGGTTTGAGTGAGGTCGTCGGCGGAAGCGCGCACCCAGGACGCGCCGCCGTGAGCCATGTGGCGCGTAGCCAAAGCGCGGGCCCAATCACCGCACGATTTCGCGAGCTCCCGCACGCGCGGACCGATTATGATGAGCGATGCGAACACGTTCGCCGCACCCATTCTCATCCCGAGCGAGACGTCGCTGTTCAAAGAAACTCGCGAAGACGCCTCCAAGCGCGTGGCTTCGACGACGACGGGTTCACCGTTCACCGTCACGCGCGTGCGCACGTCCGCCCTCTCAAACGCCCATCGCTCGTTCCCGTACCCGATTCTACCCGCCGTTATCCAATCCACGCACACACACGATCCATTTTCGTGCATATCGATTGTCTGCGTCTGTCGAAACACCGCGTCGGCGAATACTTGCGTGGGATCCGGCAGCAACGCCAACAACCCCCCCTGTCCGACGCTCGCGTACAGCGCCGACGTGGTCTCTCCCACCTTCCACGCGTCATCGCCCTCGCGCGTTTTCACGTCGTCGTTCCATCGTCGTGTATCGTGTTTATACACCTTTTGCGTCCCTTGCGTCGCCATCGCCAACGCGCACTCGTCGTCCACGCGTATCGTCGCCCCGCTCGCGTCACCGCTCACCAACCCGCCGCCCATGTTCACCGCGTACGCCCACGCGCAATCGCACGCGCTGTCGATCCCACGCTTGGGCGTGAGTATCTTCACTGGGTACTCGGCGTAGCATCGCGTCACCGTGGACGTTCCGGCGGCGCGCGTGACGTCGAGCGCGGCGATGGCGCACGCGCGGCGCGCCGCGGGGTCACCGGCGAACGCGCGATGCATGGACGCGCACGGGAAGACGCGACGCCACCGCGTGGTCGCGATGGGTGGACGAGCAATGACGACGCGCGGGCGAGGCGCGCGCCGGGGCGGATGAGGATTAAAAGGGTTTCTCCGCGCGACCGGTGCGCTCGGACCAATCGGCGAGGATGTGCCGAGCGATCTCTCGCACGCCCACGCCTTTCTTGACCTGCGCCATGACCACCGGACCGTCCTCGCGCTGGATCTTGGCGTCGCGCTCCATGACGTCGAGGGACGCGCCGACGGCGTCGGCGAGCTCGCACTTGTTGACGACTAATAAATCCGCCTGCGTCACCCCAGGTCCACCTTTTCGCGGAATTTTATCACCGCCGCACACATCAATGACGTAGACGATGTAATCCGCGAGCTCTCGCGAGTAATTTGCCGCGAGATTATCGCCGCCGCTCTCCATCAAACACAAATCGCAATTCGGATACGCCGCCGTGAGCTCTTCGACGGCGTTCAGATTACTCGATATATCTTCCCGGATCGCCGCGTGCGGGCACCCTCCCGTCTCCACCGCTCGTATACGATTCGCGTCGCCCAACGCGTCGTTCGCGATCAAGAACTCTCCGTCCTCCTTGGTGAAGATGTCATTCGTCACGCACGTGACGTCGTACGCGTCCCGGAGCGCGCGACACAGCGCCAGCGCGAGCGCCGTCTTCCCCGTCCCCACCGGTCCACCGATCCCGACCGTGTACGCGCGATCGGCGAACGTTTGCCCGCGCACGGTCGACCCCTTCCGGCGCTTCGCGAACGATCCGGGTCCGTACAATCGCTCGTGTCGATGCGGTTTCAACCCGTCGTGCGCGTGCGACGCACCGAATTCCACGTCATCGTTCCCGTCCGCGTGCGCGTGCGCGTGCGCGTGCGCGTCGCCGGACATCGCGCGCGCGCGCGGAGAAAAATGACCACCGTCGATGGACGATCGCGCGGCGCGCGCGCGGGCGTCGCCGCGCGAGCCGGGCGTCGCGCTCTCGCGACTTCCGAAAGGTCGCGACCGCCGTCGCGCGCCGCGGTCGACACTACGCCGCGCGCGCGACGGCGACGGACGATCGATCGATACCGCGCGCGGGCGGAGGGTTTTTACATGCGTCTCACGCCGTGTGAGGTGGATAAACTGGGCGCGCTCGTCGCCGCGGGGCGGTTGGCCCAACGACGGCTCGCGCGTGGAATTCGCTTGAATCACCCAGAGGCCGTGGCGTTGATCGCGATGCAGTGCGTGGAGTTCGCGCGAGATCCAAATTTCGTGATACGCGGCGATGCGCGCGCGCTGACGGCGGCGGAGGTGCAGGATTTGGGAAAACGCGTGCTCGGACGACGACACGTGCTCGAGGGCGTCCCGGAACTCGTGGGCGACGTGCAGATAGAGACGACGTTCGACGACGGAACGAAGTTGGTGACGATTCACGATGCGGTATGTGCGGATGAGGTCGATCTCGAGCTCGCATTACTGGGATCTTTTTTGCCGAAACCGAACGCGGAGGCGTTTCCGCCGGCGGCGAAGGAGAAGACGCCAGCGCCGGGGGAGATTTGTACGTCGAAGGATTCTTTAGAACTCCTGGCGGGAAGGCTGAAGCGAAAATTAAAGATAACGAACACGTGTGATCGACCGATTCAAGTGGGAAGCCACTATCACCTCATCGAGACGAATCGGTTTCTGAAGTTTGATCGCCGGCGAGCGTACGGAGCGCGTTTGGCAATTCCGAGCGGCACGGCTGTGCGATTTGAGCCGGGAGAGTCGAAAACCGTGTCTGTGGTGGATATCGCGGGTAAAAGGGTCGTCAAAGGTGGGAATAACTTAGTGAATGGACCCGCAACCGCAGATAGATTAGAGGAAGTCATGAAACGGGTGATTGATGGCGGATTCGGGCACGCCGAAGCTGACGATTTGGGTGAAGGCGAGGCATTGATGATCCCGAGACAGAAGTACGCGCACATGTACGGGCCCACAGTCGGCGATCGCGTACGATTGGGAGACACGAACCTTTACATCACCCCCGAGCGTGACTTGACCATGAAAGGTGAAGAATCTAAATTCGGCGGCGGTAAGACGCTTCGCGAGGGGATGTCGCAGCAGGCGGGCGTCGGCGACGCTGATTCGCTCGACACCATCATCACGAACGCACTGATTGTCGATCACAGTGGTATCTATAAAGCTGACATCGGCATCAAAGATGGTCACATCGTCGGTATAGGTCACGGAGGGAATCCAGACATCGCCGACGTGACGCCTGGGATGGTTGTCGGCGTGAATACCGAAGCCATTGCCGCGGAAGGGTGCATTGTCACCGCCGGAGCGCTAGACACGCACATTCACTACATCTGTCCGCAACTATGTGTTGAGGCTGTCGCTAGTGGTATCACGACCCTCCTTGGTGGCGGTACGGGACCGGCATCGGGAACATGCGCGACCACATGTACGCCCTCCGCTGCGCACATGCGGTTCATGCTCGAGACAACGGATACGCTACCACTCAATTTCGCGTTCACTGGCAAGGGAAACACCGCGTCGCCAGAAGGTCTGCATGAAATCATTAAAGCTGGTGCTGTTGGTATGAAACTACACGAGGATTGGGGCACAACACCGGCGGCGATCGACAACTGTCTCACCATTGCAGAGGAGTACGACGTCGCCGTCACCATTCACACCGATACGCTCAACGAATCATGCTGCGTTGAAAAATCTATCGAGGCGTTTAAGGGTCGCACCATTCATACGTATCACTCAGAAGGTGCTGGTGGTGGCCACGCGCCGGATATTATCAAGGTTTGCGGTGAAAAAATGGTCCTTCCTTCATCCACGAACCCAACGCGGCCATACACAAAAAATACCGTGGACGAGCATCTGGATATGCTCATGGTGTGCCATCACCTCGATCCTGAGATCCCAGAAGACGTTGCGTTCGCCGAGTCACGCATCCGTGCGGAAACTATCGCGGCCGAAGATGTGCTTCACGATATGGGTGCGCTCAGTATCATGGCGAGCGACTCGCAAGCCATGGGACGGGTCGGAGAAGTCATTCGCCGCACGTGGCAAACCGCGCACTCCAATAAAGAACAGCGTGGTTTTCTTGAAGAGGACGCAAATTCCGGTGCGGACAACTTCCGAGTCAAACGGTACGTGGCGAAATATACGATCAATCCTGCCATAGCTCATGGGATGTCGCACAAGGTAGGGAGTTTGGAAGTGGGCAAATTCGCCGACATCGTCATCTGGAAACCGGCGTTCTTCGGCGCCAAGCCAGAAATCGTCGTTAAAGGCGGACAAATTGCATGGGCACAGATGGGTGACCCAAATGCAAGTATTCCGACCCCTGAACCTGTCATCATGCGAGGAATGTTCGGTTCGCTGAAACCGGGGAAGACTTGCATAGCGTTCGTCAGCGCCGCTGCCGCCGCCGCAGATGTCGGCACCGAGTACGGTCTTTATAAACGTGTTGAGGCTGTGGTCAAATGTAGAGGCCTGAGCAAAGATGATATGATTTTGAATAACGCGTGCCCGAAGATTGAAGTCGATCCAGAAACATACGAGGTTCAAGCAGACGGTGTCGTGTTGAAAAGTCAGCCCGCGCAAGAGCTGCCTCTAGCGAGAAGATACTTTATCGTGTGATCGTGTACCGGTACGGGAACGGAAGACGAAGAGAATTACTTTGAAATAAAATATATATTCTCTCATGACAACATCACGCGGTTCGCTCGGGGCGTTCGCCGCTACTTGAGGGTATGTCGTGCATCGATCGGTGACGACTTACAGGTGGCCGGCGATCAGTCTTGCACGGTAACCCGGTTGTTGCGACAAGTTCTCGGCCGATTTCTCGGAGCCCGGCGCGAGAAGCGCGTCGATCTTCTTTTCGAGGACATCCATGCGCATGTGGACGTCGTCGTTGGTGAACATGCCCTTCAAGACGACGGAGATGGAATCCCAAGATTCGTACACCGGCAAGAAGATGATAACCGCGGTGGCGACGGTACCCCAGGCAAGGGCGATGCCGACCCAAAGGTTGAAGTAACCCTTGTTGAAGACGCCACAACCCGCGGAGGTGCCGCAACCCGCCGGGAGCGAGAGGACGGGCCAGAGGATAATCATGACGAAGGTGAAGGAAAGACCCCACTTTTGGATCCACGCAAGCGCGGCCTCGAGCTGCTTTGGGTTAGAATCTTCGTCTTGCTCGAATTCCGGAAGCTTGTCATCGATGAGTTGAATTCGATCGTTCAACGTGCTGAAGTCAAAGTTTTGCGGATCTTGGAAGGACATGAACGCGTGGATAATGCCCGAGGAGCAAATGGCGACGATGTTACCGGCGAGCATCGGGTAGTTCTCACCGAGCGTTTTGATCGTGACCGACTTGTACAAGCCTTGAGCGGTGACGATCCAGGTAATCAAACCGAGAATTTGGCCGCTGATGGCACCGACGACGGCACCCTTGGCGTTCGCCTTGTCCCAAGTCAAAACGAAGGAGATGGGCATGACGGCGGAGCCGATGAAGATACCCATCATGAGGTACACGAAACCGAGGGACAATCCAAGTTCATCGAGGATCAAGGAGAGGATACCCATGAAAAGGCCGAAGGCGACGACACCGTAACGAGAAACACGGAGAATGTCCTCACCCGTGGCGTTCGGCTTGATGTACTTGCGGTACACATCGTACGCGAACAAGGAGGAGACGGCGATTTGCTCGGCGGAGCCCGTGGATACGATGGCCATGAAGAGCATGATAGTGATCGCAGCGGCACCACCCTTACCCATCAAGTGAGTTGCAATGGCGGGCGGTACGAGACCCTTGCCAGCCTCGTCACCGGTGACCGGTAAGTCGAGGGCGACGGTGGCGAGACCCATGGCGGTGGCGAGGGCGAAGGGGATGGTGAACCAAACGAGACCGCCGAGGAGGTATCCCTTCGTGGAGGAGCTCGGCTTGGCCGCGATGGCGGATTGCCAGTAGGATTGATCGACAAAAACGGTACCAAAGTTACCGACGATGTTGATGATACCGAAGATGACGCCACCCTCAGAAAGCATGGTCAAGTACGAACCCTTTTGGTTTTTGGCAACCGCACCGCAGTTTTGGCCAGCGGCCAAGCGAGCGACGCAATCGGCCGAAGTCACGTTGCGCGCAGCTACAGACTGGAGGAGGTCATACACTTTGCTCGGGGAACCGAGACCGTGCTTAGTGTCTGCAGCGTACACAATGTAGATGAAGGTGATGAGAATAGCGAAGATGATGGCGGTGTGGATGTACGACGCCAAGAAGGTCGCCTTCAAGCCACCAGCCATGGTGTACGCGATGACACCGATCGGAATCAAGAAACCAGCGGCGGTGGTGTTCATTCCCGTAAGTGCGTTCACCGTGGCGGCACCACCGAGCACAAGCATCGAAGAAACGATGACGTTGGTCAAGAAGCAGAAGAAGATGAAGACCTTTTGCACGTCTGAGCCCCATCGCGCGTCAATGATTTCGCAAATGGTGTGCGCGTTCGGCGCGTATCGCTTCACCTGGATGGCGAGCATACCGAAAAGCAACACTTGAATCGTCGCACCGGACGCGTACCAGAACGGACCGGAGACACCGTATTGGTACGCGACGTTGGACGACTGCAACAGCGTCGCCGCCCACGTCCACTGGGACACGATGACGGACGCCGTCAAACCAGTCTTCACGTTACGACCAGCGGTGTTGAAGTATTCAGAAGAAATATTTGTCCCTCCGTAACGCTTATCGAGACCCATGACGATCGCCGTGGCGAGGGAGAAGAACAAACCGAAACCGATCACGATGCCGTAGCCCGCGCCCTCAGGGAGCACGGCTTTCCCGCCGAAGAAGCTCGTGTCGCGCACGCACGTGCCGCTCGTGAGCGTCTCATACTGCGCGCACGTCGTCATATCACCAGATATCAAGCTCTCTACGTCTGCGTCGACCCACCGAATCGCGTCGTCGTCGTCGTCAGTCCCCCGATCGCGTCCCGCGCGTCGCCGTCGTCCCGAGGCGTCGTCCCGACGTCATCCATCCGCGCCCGACCCCGTCGCCCGCGCGCGCGCGCGCCCTCACCACCGCCTCCCGCGCCCGGCGACTCGATCCCGTCCTCCCCCGCGCGTCCGTCGCGTCGCCCGCTCGCACCGGTCCCGTCGATCGCGCGCCCGCGTGTGGCGTCTCGCGCGTCGACCCGTCGCTTCGCGTCGTCGTCTCCGGCGTTCGATCGAGGGTCGAGCACGAGTCATGACTCGTCAAGAGTGTCCACACCGCCACACCGATGCGCTGGCGGAACGCGAAGCGACGCGCGACGAAGGGTCGGGGTCGAGCACGAGTCATGACTCGTCAAGGGTGTCCACACCGCCACACCGATGCGCTGGCGGAACGCGAAGCGACGCGCGACGAAGGGTCGGGGTCGAGCACGAGTCATGACTCGCCGAGAGTGTCCACACCGCCACACCGATGCGCTGGCGGAACGCGAAGCGACGCGCGACGAAGGGTCGGGGTCGACACCGGACCTCGATGGGGGTACACGTCGTACACTATGGAACGCGACGGCGATGGGGGTACGTGTCGCGCCACGACGGGACGTGGCGAATTTAATGGATCGCGATCGACGACGCGGGCGCGCGGAGACGTTGGACGGGCGGAGGGGGGGTGACGGAGGGACGCGGCGACGGCGACGCGGGGGATGGACCGAGGTGGGGTGTTTCAGGAGTTGAAGAGGCGCGCGCGCGCGCGGTCGTGCGCGCCCTGGACGACGTCGTAAATCAGCGCCGACGTCGCGGGCGCGCGACGGAGATGATGGATGATGGTGCACCCGTCGTCGACGACGGTGGATGTCGCCGTGCGCGCGGTGGCGGCGTTGAAATCGGCGACGGCGACGGCGCACGCCGCCTCGGCGTCGTCGACGCACCGGCGCAGCGCCGCCGCGGTTTCCAAAGGCCCGCTCGCGTTCAATCGCGTCGCCGCCGAGCACACGTCTCGCATGATGCAGTACACGTACGCCCGTGCGCACGCCTCGGCGTCTAAATTCGCGATCGCGCTCACGGCGCCGAAGACGCACGCGTGGTGCGCCTCGCCCAGGCCGAGCGGCGGCGGTCGTCGCAGCGTTCTTTTAATCGCCCTCAAATACCAACTTCGCTCCTCACCGAACGCCACGATGGACGCTCGTAATAAAGCCGCGCCCGTGCTCGCGCTTGCGCGTCGATTCACGGCGTTCGACGCGCATAGTGCGCCGCACTCAGCGTTCGCCGCGCGCCACGCGCGCGTCGTCTCGTCGTCGTCCTCCTCGCGCGCGTGTTTTTCGTTCGCTCGCACCGCGAACGCGCGCGCGGCGAGCGCGAACGGGAGTTGAGCGTCGATCGCGCTCTGCGCGCACTCGCGCGCGTACGTCTCGACCGCACGCGAAGCTTCGACAGACGTCTCGTCCAGCGTCCCGACCGCCCGCGCGATTCGCGCGGGCTCGAGCCCGAGCGAGTGCGCGAACGCGCCCGTGGGTAACAACGGGTCGATTAAAACGAAGGTTTCCATCCGAACATGATCCTCGCGCGCGAGTGTGGGAACGTGAAGATGGAATCACGGCGGAGACTACTCTTTTCGGCGCCGCTCGCGAATGACGCGTATGACGCGTAGCTCTCGGAAGTCTTCGAACCGACGCCATGTAGCTTTGATTTCTCGTTCGTTTGTATTATTATTATCAACGGCGGTCTACCAGTACTAGTCAAAATCTACACAACTCACTCGTCCCACGCGGAGTCCGCGCTGCCGAGATTCTCATTTTCTTCTCCTCGCGCTCCTCGCAAGTGCGGCGGCACCCACTTCACCGCCGAAGGTGCCGGGCGCTCCGTGTTTTCGCTCGAAGCATCAGTCGACTTGGTGAACGCACTGTCCATCATGATCTTCCCTTTGGGTTTCGGCGGTGCCTCGGGCTCGGGCTCGGGCTCAGGCTCGGGCTCGGGCTTTGCCGACTTGGCGTTCGCACGCTCCTTCTTGCGCTTCTCCGTCAAGAGATTACCACCCGAGAACTCTTGACGCAACATGTCCTTATAGTCGTCAAATGAACCGTTGAAAACGCTGACGCTGCCCGGGACGGGAGGGTTGGACGTCATATCACCCTTTTTGACGATCCAAATTTCGTCGACGACGAGAGAAATCAGACGCTCGTCGTGCGAAACAAGCACGACACCGCCCTCGAAGTTATTCAGAGCCATGGAGAGCGATTCAATCGTCTCCAAATCGAGATGATTCGTTGGCTCATCCAAGAGAAGGATATGCGGTTGTTTCCAGGCGAGTTCCGCAAACGCTAGACGCGACTTTTGCCCCCCAGACAAGACGCGAATGGGCTTCGTCGCGAGCTCGCCTGAGAGACCGAATCGACCGAGATACGCTCGAGCCGTCTCGAGTGGCATCTCCGGGTCGAGACGCTTCATGTGTGCGACAGAGTCTTGCTCTGGATCCATTGTCTCGAGGTGATGCTGCGAGAAACGCGCCAGTCGAAGCTTCGTGTGACGGTTGATCCAACCTTCAGTCGGCAAAATGTCACCCTCTAGAAGTTTCAAGAAGGTTGACTTACCGGCGCCGTTCGGACCTACGATGGCGACGCGAGAGTCCATGTCTAATCCAAAGTCCAATCCTTGGTACAACGTTTGGTAACCCTCGTAACCGAACGCGACGTTCATCACCGAGATGCACGGCGGCGGTAACGGCGTAGCCGATGGGAAGTTGATGCGCAGGTACGGATCGTCGTAATCCACGTCGACGCGCTCGGACTGTAACTTCTCGAGCATCTTCATGCGACACTGCGCTTGACGCACCATTTTCTTGTGACCTTGACCGAATCGAGAGATGAACTGCTTGAGAGAGGCCTCTCGCAAATTCTGATTTCTCTGAACCGCCTCCTCGTTTGCACGGTGCTCGGCGCGCACCTTGAGGAAGGTGTCGTAGGAACCGCCGTAGTATCGCAGTTTCTTATGGTGCAAGAAAATCGTCGCTGTCGTACAATCGTTCAAGAAGCCGCGGTCGTGAGAGACGATGAGAACTGTCTTCTCCCATCTGCGCAAAAACTCTTCGAGCCACGTCAAGGCGTGGACGTCCAAGTGATTCGTTGGCTCATCCAGGAGCAACAAATCCGGCGTCATGAAAAGTGCCGCCGCGAGAGCGATGCGCATGCGCCAGCCACCAGAGAACTCCTTGGTCGCTTTCTGTTGTTCCTGAGGATCGAACCCGAGACCGCCCAAGATCTGTCCAGCTCTCGCCAAGGCGGTGTCCGCGTCGATTTCGTCCAGGCGCTCGTACACCTCGTTCAAATCGATCCCATCAATCTTATCGATCTCCTCGTCGAGCATGCGCTTCTCGAGATCGAGCAGATATAGCCGCTCTTGATCCGTTTCCACCACGGTTTGCAGCGCCGACCGCTCGTCCGGCGACGCCTCTTGCTCGACGTGAATGATGTGCAAAAAGTCGGGAAGTTTTATCGTCTTCTCGGAGATGGCTCGCAGGAGCGTCGACTTCCCGCATCCGTTACGACCGACCAAACCGTACTTGGTCCCGAACACCAGCTTCAACGTCCCGTCCTGAATCAGCTCGTCTCGACCGCCGTAGAGCTGAATGCCGGTCATATGAATGTCCATGTTGCAGTTGTTCCGGCGGTTCGCGTCCGGTCCGCTTCGAATGTGGAAGCCCAAATCTTCCGAGCTCAACCGCCCTCCGTTGGCCTCAATTCGCGCCAATCGCTCGCGCTCAAGCTTCGCCTCGCGCTTCTTCTTCGCCTCCGCCTCTTGTTCCTGCTTCACGCTCAGCATCTTCCTCGACTTTGCCTTGCCTCGCTTCACCGTCTCCTCCGGAAGCGTCTCGCCGTTCGCCACGCGTTCGCCGTTCTCCCTCGCCCGCTTCACCCGCGCGAGCAGCACTCGATACTGTTGACAGCACTCCATCGCGCTTCTTCCCTCGACGCCAGCCGCGATCGCGCTCCATCGCGCCTCATCGCTCTCCGCGTCGTCCGACGCGCGGACGCCTCTCGTCTTCAAGCCCTCAATCAGCGCCAAGTCCTCGAGCTCGGTCCACGTCCCGTCCGATGTCTTCGACGACGCCACCGCATCGCCCGCGGCATCGTCCTCGCCCTCGCCCCCGTCCCCGTCGTCGCCGCCGTCCTCTCGCTTCGCCGCGCGCGCTTCGTCTCGCGCCGCGCGTTTCGCCGCGAGGAGCGCCTTCTTCGCCTCCTTTTCTTGTCGTTTCTGCTCCGCGAGCTCCGCCTTCTCGCGCTCCTTACGCGTGCTCATGTCCAACGAATCGTCGTCCGCGATGCCGCGACGGGCGACGTCGCGACTCGACGACGCGCGTCGCCGATTCGCCATTGTCCCACGCAGCCGTCGCACCTCGGGACATGCATGACATCATGACGCGCGTCGTGCGCGGCGTCCGCGTGGTCTTGACCCCCGACGCCGACGTCGTGGACCCGCGAGACGTCGCCGCGCGCGCGCGCGCGAGCGATCTCGCGCGCGAGCTCGAACGCGGACGTGACGCGCCGATGTCCGCGGGTCACGCATCGCGGTCGGCATCATCAATCGTCGATCCAATGCTCGACGTCGACGCGTGGACGACGGCGACGACGGCGATGGACGAACGTCGCGAGCGCGCGATCGCGGAGACGCGCGCGGTGACGACGTGCGACCGAGAGACGGCGGCGCTGGCGGTGGATCTGGGGGAGGCGTGCGGGTGGGACGGCGGCGGGCGCGCGGATTTCGCGCGGGCGAGCCGAGAGTTGGCGCTCATGGGATTCGATGACGACGACGGACGCGCGAGCGGGGCGTTGGGCGTCGCTGGATTACGCGTCGAACGCGCGGTGGAAGTGTGCCTGGCGCGGGAGAGATCGTGAGCGTTGACGAGAGACGCGCGACGCGCGCGGGCACGGCGCAACTGTTTCGACGCGCCGACGCATTCATCGTTGTAACAATACCTCACTCAGCGCCGCACGCGTCGACGCGCGTCGGTAGATGAAGAACGCATAGGAGCGAATCGTGTGGGACGTCCGACGCACGGCGCGCGGGCGCGCGTGATGAACTTTGACGCGCGGGAGCGAACAAAGGCGAAGGCGAGCGCGGCGTCGAAAGATGCGCTCGTCGCCGCGTCGCGCGACGCCCGGGAGCGACGAGCGCGCGAGAGAATGTTAAGCGATGCGGCGGTGACGTGCCAGCGTCGACGGCGAGCGAGTCGAGCGAGACGGGACGCGGAGAGGGCGATGCGGGAGACCCTGGACGCGTCGGCGACGAGCGGGACGGTGACGACGGATGCAATCCAGGCGCTCGTTCGAGCGAAAGTATCCGGGTGCGGTTTAGAGAGGGCGTTTAAAGTGATCGCGCTCGCTTTGAGGGATAAGGAGACGATCGCGCGGATGTGTGATTTGGCGACGAGAAGAGCGCTTTGCGTGGAAGCGCTCGCGACGTGCTCGAACGCAGAGGCTCGAGAGCGAGTGCCGGCGCTGGTCGCGTGCGGCGCCCGATTGGCGAGCGGATTGTGCGAGAGGGACGAGAGATTGGCGTCGAGTCTGGGAAATCGCGCGTGTGAAGCACTCGCGGCGGCGCTAGGTGACGAGCGGTTTGGTGGCGAGCACAGAATGGACGTCGCGCGGCAGCTCGCGTCGCTTGCGCTGATGCCTCTCGATAGCGATCCTCGATCGAATCGCTCGCACATCCGCACATTAATTCGTGTACCACGATTGCGTAAAAACCTTCCGGGCGAGGCAGTACGAAAATTCGATGAACCGAGGACGATGCGGTTGATGTTGGAGGCTTGCTCGGATGGTTTTAATCGAGACGCCGACGTTGCGATTGAAAACGTGATGGAGGCATTGTGCGACGGCGATGCGAGTGGGAAGGGTGAGAATGTGCGATTATTTGCGACGGAGAACGATGAAAACGCGTTCTTGGCCCTGCGTGCGCTCACCGGTTTATCCGCAAGCGCGCGGACGCAGATGCCTGATTGGTTTGACAAACTTGCAAAAGCTCCGGGTTGGCGCACGATCACTGTCAGTGCATTGGTGGAGACGTGGTTTTTGACTGCATTAATCAGTGATAAGGACGGAAAGCGAGTAAGCTCGCCCGAGAAAGCGGCAGCGGCGACCAGTCTGTATGCGGAACTGTCGCGCGCGAGTGCGGAAGGCGTGTACGCGCCGTGCGCGTTCTCGTCCGGATATCTGCATTCTTTATGGAGATATCTAGCTCGAAAGCTATCGCTTTCCAGTGAGGTGATGAGTTCCGATCACAGTGCGTGGGTCGCGAAGACGTTTGAGCGCGATGGCGTCTTGGACCTTGCTCTTGACGAACAAGAGCGATTCGCGTTCTTTTGCTCTGCGTACACATATCGCCTAATTGTCCTCCGGGACAAGCAATTCTTCGATGAACAAAAGCCATTTTCGCTCAGCGAACAACGGGCAATTGCGGTCTCGGTGAACACTCTATGCGTGCGCTCGCACTTGTCGCCAAAGTCGCATGAAATCACCATTGAGATGCGAAGGACGCTAAGTGCTGCGAGTAAATTACTGCACGCGCTCACCACGCGTGATGCGCGACGTAGTTTTGCGCCGCAAGGGATGTGGCTCGCTCCAAATACGATAAAGCTTCAGCCTACGGTGGCCGCTTCGACATTTCAGTCATACATCGAGAATCGATCAAACTTTACACAAATTACAGGTTTGCTCGATGATTGTCCACACGCCATCGCGTTCGACGATCGGGTGCACATATTTCGTGAGCTCATCAAGGCGGATAGAAACAAAGCTGGATTTAGACCTCAGGCAGGTGGCGTCGATGCCGAGCACAGGGACTCTTTCGTGCGCCCGGTGGCGCAGATGACGCTGAGACGTGAGACGGTGCTCGAAGATAGTCTGTCGACAATTTTGTCCCTCGGCTCCAAGTCACGCGGCCGGATTTTGGTTAAATTTGTCAACGCTGCGGGACAAGAAGAGGCTGGCATCGACGCCGGAGGACTTTTCAAAGAGCTGTTAAGCTTGGTCACCGAGCGAGGGCTCGATCCCAATCGTGGGCTGTTTACGACAAATTCATACGGCCAAGTCTATGTGTCTCCAAGAGCTGGAGACACGCATGAAGGTTTGTTGCTGCTGGAAATGATTGGAATCATGATTGGAAAGGGTATTTACGAGGGCATACTCCAAGATATTAATATGGCTCCGTTCTTCGCGGCGCACATTTTGGGGACACCTCGAACGATTGACGACATTCCAAGCCTCGACGAGGAGCTCGCACACTCCCTCGTGCAAATTCTGGAGTACTCGGGCGATGTTGCAGATCTGTGTCTCGATTTTACGTGTAGCGAGGAGGTGTACGGACAACTCGTGACGAGAGAGCTCGTGCAAGGTGGGCGCGAAATCGACGTCACGTCCGCAAACAAACTTTTGTACATCCACTTACTCGCAGATTATCATCTCAACCGGCGAATAGCGACGCCGATGAATGCCTTCATACGCGGGCTGAGGACTATAATCAATCCTCGATGGATCGGATTATTCAACGCTAAAGAGCTGAGCCTGCTCCTGAGTGGCGGCGAATCCGCTATAGATGTGGACGACTGGGAGCGACACACGCGGTATTCTGGCGGATACTCCGCGAGGAGCACCGCGGTGCGAAACTTCTGGCGAATTGTGCGCACGTTCTCCCCGGATCTGCGACAAGATGTGCTGAAGTTTGTCACCTCTTCTCCGAGACCACCGCTCCAGGGATTCAAGCATCTCAATCCCCCGTTCGTGATCCACAAGGTGCCGTGCGAGGCAAGCGTCTTTGCAATGTTTGGCGGCGCAGACGTCGGTCGACTTCCCAGCGCCAGCACCTGCTTCAACATGCTCAAGCTCCCAAACTATCGCAGACGGTCGACGCTCGAAAAATGCCTCGAGTACGCCGCCCGCTCGCGCGCCGGCTTTGAGCTCAGTTAGTCGCCGCATGACGTTTTGTATTACGTTGTATCATCGCGCCACACGCCGCCGCGTCGTTCGCCCCCGATGCCCGGCAAACGCCATCCAAAGGGCCGTAATAAGCGTAAACGCGATGGCCCGCAACTCCCCGGTTTCCTCCACCGCCAGCTCGAGGCGTTCGACGACGGTGGCGTCGACGGAAGAGAGTTCGCACCGACGACCAAGAAGTCGAAACAGTCCAGAAAAGAACTCCGCGCGACGAAGAAACGCGATGCGAACGAGCGCAAGCAGAGCGCGGAGAGGTGGAAAGCCGAGCGCCGCGCGCTGAGGCGGTCGGGGACGCACGCTGAGGCGGAGACGCGCGCGACGAGTGCGGAGAAGGCGACGACGACGACGAGCGGCGGCGGAACGAAAACGACGCGCGGGCCGAGCGCGGGCGTCGAGACCGCGCGTGAGGGACAGAAAACGGCGCGTGATGATCGTTCGAAGCCTTCGACGAGCTCTGGTAAGAAAGTGGAGAGGTTGGAGAAAGCGGAGATGCGGGCGAGCGTGCGAGAGGCGTACGAACGGGACGAGGCGGCGGCGCGGCGACTGGAGAAGAAACTAAAGGGAAGAAAGGGGCCGGATGACGGGTTGAACGAGCTGTTCGAAGGATTGCCGGACATGGATTTCTTGAACGGCGGCGAGAGCGAGAGCGAGGAGGAGGACATGGAAGAGGAGGACATGGAAGAGGAGGACATGGAAGAGAGCGAAGAAGAGGAAGAGAGCGAGGAGGAGGAAAGCGACGGAGAGGAAGAGGACGTCGAACAGGAGGCGAAAAAGGAGAAGAAAGTCGAAGCCCCGGCATCGAGTTCGGGTAAGTACATCCCTCCTGCGCAACGAGCGCGAATGGCGGCCGAGGCTGCCTCGACGCCCGGATTCGATCAGTGTGTTCGACAAATCAGAGGTTTGATGAACAGAATGGGTGAGTCTAACGTCGCTGGCATCGTCGACGACGTCGCTGATTTAGCGCGAAAATTCCCTAGAATGGAGGTGTGCGAGACGACGACGAAAGAAATCATGACGGCGCTTACGGAGGGCCCTCGCGCGAGCGACCAGTATTCGGCAGCCATAGCGGCTTTTGTCTCCGGCATTTCAGGTGCGATCGGTCCCGAGGCTGGCGCACGTTTCGGATCGCGTATGTGCGTGAAATTAGAGCAAGAACAGATGGAGGACAAAGCAAGATCTTGCAGCAACATCGTGAACGTCTTCGCGCGTCTTTACACATGCGGGCTGTATCCGTCAAGCGTGTGTTACGGTTTTCTGGTTACACTGGCGAAGAGTTTGTCCGAGCTCGACTCGACGCTCATGCTCACTCTTCTTCGAATCGCTGGACCTCGTCTTCGATCTGAAGACCCGGTCGGCATGAAGGAGTTCATCTTAGCGCTTCAAGCTCGCGTGGCTGAGCTACAAAAGGAACGCGGCGACGGCGAAGATGGCGGGCAGCTATCAAAGCGCGCACGTCTCATGCTGGAGATGGTGATCGATCTGAAGAACAACAAGAAACGCGACAACGTACAGGATGTGGGTAAAGACCAGTGGGGATTTCCGGTTGCTCTCAGCAAGTGGTTGCGCGGAACGAACATGGGTGAAGCCACGGTGGCTCTTCGTGCGTTGACGTACGAAAAGCTCATCAAGACTGAGAATCAGAAAGGACAGTGGTGGCTTCCCGAAGCCGCCGGCACCGCCGATTGGTTTGCCGCGCGTGCAGCGCAAGAATCTGTCACAAAACAGGCTGTGAAATCGCGAGAAGGGGGCGAACTGTTGGATCTAGCGAAAAAGATGCGAATGAACACCGAGACCAGACGAGCCGTGTTCTGCGTCATCATGGGATCGGATGATTTTGCCGATGCTCTGGAGCGTTTGTTGCGATTACCACTCGCTGACAAACAAGATCGAGAGATTCCTCGCGTGTTATTGGAGTGCTGTCTCCAGGAGAAGGCATACAACCCGTACTACGAGGTTCTCGCGACCAAGTTGTGCGAACGCGTTCGATCGCACCGATTGACATTTCAGCTGTGCATCTGGGACCAGCTCAAGGAAATCGACGATCCATCCTCTTCCGTGCGTAGGATATCAAACTTGGCTCGACTCTTGGCTGGATTAGTCCTCTCCGGTGCTCTCGCGCCGACGGCACTCAAGGCTTTGGAGTTCGGTGTCGACGTCGCTCCACGCGTCGCCCTCCATCATAAACTCCTCCTACAGGCCATCCTCGAGGACCGATCCAGGACCACAGCCGCGGACGCACTCTTCCAGAAGATCGCCTCTGCCCCCGAGCTCACCAACGCAAAGGCCGGTTTCATGCGCTTCCTTCGAGATCCCGATTCTTTGGTCGCCGTCGCCGCCGGCGCCCAATCCGACTCAGCGCTCGCTAAACGTCTCGCCAATCGAGCCGTCACCGCGCGAAACATCCTCATCGCCGCGTCCTAGAACTAGTCACTCATCACCACTGTTATTTCACCGTCCGGCGCATCGTCATCGATCCACCGTCGCTCGAGTGTGCATGTCACCATTTCTCGCGTCTCGCGCGCGACGCCGGGTTTGCCCTCTCGCCCGCGCGCGAGACCCCGCACTATCCGACGCTTACATGGCGCGCGTTCGATCGCTCCGCGGCGCGGCGTCCCTCGCGAGACACTTCGTGGACGCCCTTCCGCCCGCCAACGCGTCGAGAACGAGCCTCGTCGCGAGCGCGTCGACGATCGAGCGCGCGATCGCGAGCGGCGGCTCGAGCTCGAGGTCCAATTTCTCGAGCGCGGCGACGCTCGGTTTCGGACGATCTGCGGGAACGCGCGGAGTCGGTGACGACAGAACGTCAGTGCGTCACAGTTTGAAGCCGACGCGAACGTTTGCGTCGTCCTCGGAGGGCGGTGAGAACGGCGAGGGCGAGACGGCGACGAGCGAGAGCGAAGTCGCGAGCGGGACGGAAAAGTCGACGGAGGAGGAGGATATCGGGTGGACGTTCGGAGTGAAGAATCAGCGACGGCCGACGCGAAGGGATAAGGGGTCGTACGATGCGTTTTTGACGGAGATTGATTCGTACCCGACGCGGCACGATGTGCGGGACGTGTACAACGCGCGGGAGTGGGTCGAGGCGAGTCTGGAGGAGAGCTGCGCCCAAGTGGAGGTGCTCGTAGATAAGATGCTCGCGGGGATGAAGGAGATGGAGGCGCTCGAGGAGAAGTACGCGGACATCTTTCCGGAACAAGGGAACACGGACGACGGCAGCGAGCAGGACGCGGTGTTAACATGGAAGAGCGAGTTTGTCATGGAACCTGGAGATGTGCAGGAGCACCCACTCAACTGGAAGGTGTCAGTCGAAGTCAAGCTCAGCGAGTTGCAGCGCGTCACGGGTCTGAGCGATGAAGCGATCGAGTACATTAAACTCTTGGTGGATAAGAGATACAACGCCAAGCAGGACACGCTTAGAATTGTGTGCCGTCGGAACAACAATCGCGAGCACAACAGGCAGTGGTGCTTGAAGGTGTTGTACGACTTAATTCAAGAGGGCAATAGGGAGTATCCAAGCGATTCTTATTCATTCACGCCAGATTTAGGCAGCAGCAGTGCGACCACTAGTAACGCGTAATATTTTCAGGGCGACTTTCGGGAAGAGTTGTAAAAATTTACACAACTTTCTTTTGAATGATTTTGGTACCACTTTTTTACGACTTTTACAAAGCTGCCAAGCAATCTTGATACGATGAATGAATCAAACACGACATAAATATCTGCACTCTGCTTAGTTGTTCTTCGCATACTTGCCCTTCACGACGCCGTAGATGCCAGCGCCCAAGATGGCGATGAGAGAACCGACGGCGGTTTGGGTGGAGATCTTGTTACCGAACGCAAGGATAGAGAAGCCAATCACGAAGATTCGCTTACCGACATTGCCGACGGCGTGTGTGACCGGAGCGACCTTGCCGAGGGCTTGGTACGCGACTTGGTTGTACATGTGGTAGTAGAAGCCGACGGAGGCGAGCGCCATGAGGAACTCCGTCTTACCCTTGAGAGCGATGGCGTCGGAGATGCCTTGGGCGAGCGTCGGGCCTTCAAAGTAGATGGCAAACGGCAAGCAGAACATCAAGGCGACGATGGTGACCCAGTTGTAAAGATTCAACGGAGACATTTTGTTCATCAACTTCTTGCTGAAGATGGCGCGCGCCGAGAAGGCGACGTTGGAGCTCATCGCCGTCAAGAAGCCCAACCAGGTGAAGGAGAGCTCAGTGGCGGACGCAATGGCAACGCCGCCCATGATCGGGAGCAGAGAGGCGTACACCGGGAGTGGGTACACGGTACCGGCGACCAAGTAGGAGCCAATCGCCGTGAACACCGGCTCGAGCGTCTTCACGGTGTGCGTGAAGGACACCGCGACGGTGGCGAAGGACACGTTGGTCAGGCAGTGCCCGAACGCGTGCAAGAACGCCGGAAGTGAGAGCGCCTTGAGGAAATCCTTGTCCGGCTGCTCGTACTCGACCAGCTTGCTACCCCAGAAGAAGGCCATGATGAACAAACCGACAAATAAGTGCACGCACGACACGAACCACGGGAACGGGAAGTAGTTGTAAATCGTTTTGTTGATGATGTTGAATTGGACGTTCAAAAAGTACCACGCCGCGAAGTAAAACACCGTCTCCGCCTGCGGGTACTTCGCCTTGAACTCTTCCAGGGCGCCGCTACGTTCGTTAAAACACACGCCTCTCGTCAGTCATCTCGCTCCGTGCTCCATCGCTGCATTCGTCACATCCTTTACAGAAGCCCGCCGACGCGCGCGTTGGAAAACCTAGGATACCCGGTATCTCGCACGATCGCACCCAGTGGCGACCCCCTCCCGCGCTCGCTCGCTCGCCTCGACGCTCCGTGCGTCGCGATCGCGCGCCGTAACGACTCAGTCGCCGTAGACAATCGCGCGACCGCTTTAAAGCACAGCGAGCACGAAGCGATCGCTCGCTCGGAGGCGATCGCGACGAGCAATCGAATCCGCGTGGCACCGCCCGCGAGGCGGATTCTTTATCACTTTATTCTCTCTCGCGTCGCCGCTTCATGTATGAACGTACCTCGCGTTCGCTCGCACGCTCGATCGCTTGGACGAATTTTGTACCGTCACCCTGCGCTCGTTCGCGCTCGATCGCGCGGTCGCGCGCTTGCACAGCGCGTCACCGCGCGAGAGGGACGCGCTCGCGCGCGGGACGACATTGACGCGTCCGTGCGTCGCACTCGCGACGCGCTTGACCGACGATCCGCGACGGCGTTCGCCGACGGTGGTTCGAGCGCTCAGTGCAGCGCTTCTCGAGATCACGGCGCTCATGGTCGTCGCGTCGCGCAACCGCGTGGAGGAGTGACGCGACGCGCGGATGCCTCGGCCGTTGGTCGTTCTCGTTAACCCCTCGTGTTGGCGTGATCCCTATTCGGAGGGTCCGGGTCCCATGATCATCCCGGGTGTGTGTCGGACACCCGGGAGTGTCCATAGTGCAAACCCCTCGAGAGTATCTGATTGATTCCGAGTGGTCGCCCACGGCTCGACGCGACGTCTCACCGCGCGCGCGCGCGGGACGACGACCCCGGCGCGGACGGCGACGGTGGCGATGCCGGTCGTCCGTGCGTCCTCGATCGCGTCTCCGGTGGTGCGGCGTCGAGCGCGCGCGCGAGGAAGGCGCGTGGATGGCGCAACCGGTCGAGGTCGAGGGACCACGACGACTGGTGCGTCGACGTCGGCGAGCGACGCGGCGACGCTCGAGCGGAAACGTCGGTACATTAATTTCACAGGGTTCCCTTTTCCGTTGACGCCCTTGCTGAGGCGAGTGACGAAGCGCGAGGAGCTCGTTCCGGGACGCGTGTGGAGCTTCGAGCAAGAGCAAGGCATCGGTTTCGGTCTGGGGGTGTCGACGAACGTCCGGATGACGGTGATCAAGCTTCGAGACGGTTCGCTGTGGGTGCACGATCCGATTGCACCGACGGAGGAGTGTTTGGATATGTTGAGAGAGTTGGGCGGGGAAGTACGATACGCGTGTCTGTCGACGACGCAGTACGAGCACAAAATTTTTGCTCCAGCGTTCACGCGCGCGTTCCCGAAGTGCGAGCTGTGGATCGTGCCGGGACAGTTTAGCTTCCCTTTACCTCTGCCAAACGCCGCCCTGGGGTTGTTTCCCAAGGGGACGCTCGGAGATGCGAAGAATCCGCCACCGTGGAGCGACGAAATCGAGAGCGAGCTCTTGTACTTACCGCCTCTGTTCTGGCACAACTACACCTACAGCGAGTGCGCGTTTTATCACAAGGATACTGAGTCGATTTTGGTCACCGACGCTGCGGTGTACGTCGGAGAGGGCGCGCCGGGGATCATCCCGGAGGACGATTTGGAGAGTTTAGGGAGCGACGAGTGCTTCACCATCCGTTTATTAAAGCTCGGTAACTATCGCGGCGGTCGAAACATTGCGTCGCCGAACATTCCCGCAAGTCAACGCGCAGAACGCGTCGCGAACGGATGGAAACGGATGGCGCTGTTCTCTTTATTCATAGCGCCAGACGCGAAGAACATTCTGAACCCAGAGACGAGCTTTCGCGGAATGGCTGGAAAGTTTGTGGTGTCGCCCATTGTCTTCAACGTAGTGTTCCAATTTTATCGTGAGGAAGTCAACGCGTGGGCAGAAAAAGTCAGCCGATGGAACGCCAAGCGTGTGATAGCGTCGCACTTTCCAGTGCCTGAATCGGCGACTGGTGTCGACTTTCTTGCAGCGTTTGATTTCGCCAAGACGAAAGATTCCATCCCACCGGAATATGTCGATGCAAAAAACGATCTGGCGTCGCTCGATCTCGTAGTTCGCATCCTAGGCGCGATCAACGCGGTACCGAAAGTCAATTGATAGATTTAGATTACATAGCTCATTCACGCGCGCCAATCAGTCCCAGCTCTCGTCATCGTCAACGTCTGCGCCGGCCGTGAGTGCGCCGTGTTGCTTGTTCCACTCTTCATGGAAGATGACGTCTGCTCGCGTGACCGACGGCCGAACTTGCTTCGCCGCTCGTCGAACGTCAGCAAGTACTATGGGTCTAAGTGAACTCGGCGAGACTGGACCTGGAACGTCTTTCACCTTTTGAAACGTCTCGCGCACAGGCGCTCGCGCAGCCTCTTGAATGAGATGCTTCATGTCAGAGCCAGAATATCCCTCGGTTTTCTCGCAAATCATATCCAAATCGGCGTCTGTGAGGCTATGAGCGACGCCTTTGCCCACTGAGAGCGTGCGAAGGATCATGTCTCGTCTCGCCGCGGCGCACGGTAGAGGGATGTAGAGCTGTTTTGGCATGCGTCGACGCGCACCATCATCGAGACATAACGGGGTCTGCTTTGAGTAAAGTAGTGAACGAAGCGGGCGCATTACGTCTCAACGAGCTCCAACATATATCCATGCCGACGCTCAATCAGTCGAGCACGCCAGCTATCGAGTTCGGCTCGCGATATCTTGTTCATTTTGCGTACTTTATTGCAAGAGATGCGTTTGATCACGAAGCATTCGCGATAATCAGGCGTGAGGCACAATTGATGGACCCGCAGCAGCGTGTGCTCCTGGAGAATGCATTCGCTGCAGTGCGGACGCCGACACGTGAGGCGTCAACGCACCAATCAACAGCCGTGGCAGTGGGTGCTTGGACATCACAATACGCCGACTTGTGCCGAGTCTACATGCCGGCACCAGGACCATACTCAGGCGTCGCTTCTGCATTGAGCGTGCTTTGCGGTCGCGTGTCGTACACATTCGGTCTTCGAGGGCCGTCCGTATGCGTGGATACGGCGTGTTCGTCATCGCTCGTCGCTGCACACACTGCGAGCGCGTACTTGCGTGGTCGAGAGTGCGATGATGCCCTCGTCGCTGGCGTGAGCGTGAATGTGGGTGTGGGGACTCTCCTGCTGGCCGCGGCGGCCAGCATGCTCTCGTACGACGGTCGATGCAAGACTCTAGATGCGAGTGCAGACGGATACGCCAAGGGTGAGTGTTGCGTAGTCCTTCGCGTGACATCGAATACGTCTCTTGACGTGGACGCTCTCGCGCGCGATGCGAACGATCCATCACCCACCCATATCGCCCTGGCGCAACTCGAGCACACGGGCGTGAACCAAGACGGCCGATCGAGCTCGCTCACCGCTCCAAACGGGCCGTCACAGCAAGCACTCATGGCCGACGTGCTTGTTCGCGCTGGTCTGCACGCGCGCACGATCGGCCGGCTGGAAATGCACGGCACTGGTACGTCG